GAGAGAGAGAGAGAGAGAGAGAGAGAGAGAGAGAGAGAGAGAGAGAGAGAGAGAGAGTGCCACGTGGCACTTAGCGCAACGGTACTGTATCGACGACGGCGGCCAGCGACGACGAGCTGGGAGACGAGCAGCGACGACGGGCAGCGGCGGCGGGCAGCGACGGGAACCTCTTCGGTGGGCAGCAGCGGGAACCTCCTCGGCGGGCAGCACGAACTCACGTTCGAATTTGAAGGCCGCCTGACCAAATGTGGAATCGGTGGAATAATTTGCGCGGGGGGGCAGGGAGGCTCCCAAGCACGAAAAAGCATCGAAAAAGGCCTCCCTGCCCCCCTGCGCAAAAATGCGCTGGGCCCGCCAGGCGTCAAACCAGGGGACCCAACTGGCCGGGCCGCCCGGGACCCCTGCCRGACGGAGGCTGGGCCGCCGGGCGGCCCGGAGTTTAACACAGTTTAAAACAAATATGTTGTATAAAATTGCAGTACAAGCAACTTTTGGCTGAGGGTCCCCTCCAAATTCCTTATTAATTTTAAGATAAAAATAAATGAGGAGAAATGAGGTAAGATATAGTCTGATATACCCTTTTAAATCCCTCTAGTGACTGTTTAGAGTAACTTTATACCCCCCAATCACTCCTGGGTGACCCACCACCGAAATGGAAGGTAAGGCCGGATTCTGACTGCTCAGGCCGAGCGCAGTCCTGGCCTGAAGTCAGTTTTTTTTTTTTGGAGATCCTTCCCTCTTTTTTGACCCGCCTGGTTTTGCCGGGGGATCCCCACCGGCCCAACTGGCCCGGGCATGCCTGGCCGGGCGATGGCCCAGCCTAGATATTTTATGAAGAAGAATAAAATAAACAACTTTTACCTGAGCATTACATCCAAATTCCTTACCAAATTGGAAATAAAAATAAAATACGGAAAATAAAACTAATAAGAAAAATAAGAAAAAATAAAGAGAATTAAAATTAGTGAGTGAGCGAGCACGTTTTCGACACCGCCATCTTTGTGCAAGGAAAATGAGCGATAGCGAACTTCAGAAATCGAACAGCATCAATCACTTGAGACCAGATACTCGTGACCTCGAACCAATAGCAGAATTGCATCACGAGTTCCACCAAATAAGAGCACAGCAAAAGCTCATAATTGACAATGCTGGAATAGTCTCATCATCATCAACGAAGAACCAATGTCGATATCCTATCTGGCGCTCGGCACCCGGACTACAGATGGCAGATCCTATCTAGCCTATCCTCAATGCCTCTGATGACGTCACAGCTCCCCGAAGTACGAGCAGATCTCGGCCAATGCCGTTCACCTCAATCACCAGGTATGTCTCTCGTATCACTCACAAACTCGATCCCCAACTCACAGATGCCACATGCACCCAAAGACCACCATGCGCCCCATCCAGCATACAGCAGCGCAGCTCGGCTATGGCTGCCTGCTCCTTCCAGCTCGCCCGTGAGCGCGTGAGCGCTGGCCAATGTATAGCGCGGCAGCACTTGCGCAGCATGCAGCCAGTGCCGGAATGCCGAATGTGTGGGCAGGCACTTTCCCAAATGGAAGTGTCCTGCGTGCTTGCGTGCAGCCTGGCTGCGCTGGGCCCCTGCCCAGAAGCTTCCGGTAGGCCTAGAGAGGCTGAGCCCCAGTCCAAACGAAACAGGCCCTGGGCCTGTGGTGGTTGCCCATGTCCAACTGCCCTCGGCCTGTGTTCGGTCCATGTTGCGAATCTGGCCCATGGCCTGCCTCAGTTACATTCGAAAGAGGAGCCTGGGCCTGGGCGCTCTCAACCAACTGGCGCTGCGCAACTGCCTGAATTTACCCAGTTGTGTGATGACCCCAAAATAGGCCTGTAGGCCCTGGGTCGAGCCTGCCTTCACTTAGGGCGGCCGACTGTACAGAAAATAGGGCCCAGTAGGGCAGATCGAGGCCTTGAGATACTTCGCTAGTCCTCTGAGGAGTTTATTCAATCTGGCGCTTTCCTTTCTGCAGCAACTTCTCATAGTGGGCGACAACCTGCGGTGCGGTCTGCATTAGTTCCTCCCGTGTGAACCACCTATCCTCCTTTGGATCAGTATGATGTCTGAACCGAACTCGGTACTGCAGCTTCGGTTTCGGAGGACCTGCCTGTCGGTCTTGGAACCGGCATTTCCCTGTGGTCAATGTCGACTTCTCCGTCCATGGTTGGGGGCAGCATTGAGTGACGTGTGGGAAACTGATCAGTTTCCTCGGAAGGTGCAAGTTTGGAGGCGTGAAAAACAGGGTAAGTGCGAAGATGACCAGGGATCCGGATTACATATGATGGTCCATCCGGATCTTCCCCAACAACATCCAGAACCTCCCATGGTCCAAAGTATTGTGGCATGATCTTGCGGGAGATCCCGTGCTCCTGTCCCAGTTCTGAGGAATTTACCCAAACTCTGTCCCCTACCTGAAATGTAGAAGGGCGGCGGTGTTTGTTCTCGGACTCTATCATTGCCGCCTGTGCCTTATGCATCTGTTCTACTGCCTGCTGCATCAGTTGTTCATAGCGATAGGCAAATTCCAGTGTGCCCGGTTTAGCAGTTGGCTGGTTGTCGGGTAGTAGAAAGTCTAGGGACAGTCTAGGCTTGAAAGTCAGTAGCAGACTGTTAGAACTTACCCCAGTGGAACTGTGCACGGCATTGTTGTACAGGCTGGCGATAAGAGCAAGTTTCTCATCCCAGTCCACCTGATTGGGCTTAATGTGATGCCACAACAGGTGTTGTACAGCGCGGTTCAGCTGCTCTGCTTGGCCATTTGCCTCTGGGTGGTTCCCAGAAGTCAGCTGCAGCTGCGCTCCCTGTTCTACAGCTGCAGCCTTCCACAAATCACTGGTGAATCTGACATCCCTGTCACACACAATAGACTTTGGCAGTCCAAAGTCTCTGACCCAGTTCCCTTTGAACAGTTTGATCACATACTCGGTTCTAGCTGTAGCAGGCATTGCAACTAACGTAGCATACTTACTAAACCTATCCACAATGACATAGATATATCTCATTCCACTCTTGTTGGTGACCAGCGTGTCCATGAAATCCATAGACAGGCTCTCACCAGGCCTTTCCGGAATCGGAAGGGGCTTGAGAAGACCAAAAGGGGCTTGTGTACGTGGCTTGTCTCTCTGACACACCTAACAGGTCTCCACATACAGCTTCACATCTCTCATCATTGTGGGCCACCAGAACCGTTGCAACAGATTTGCTGCAGTCTTTCTATACCCAAAATGTCCGGTGGTATCATGCCGCTCGCCTAAAAATAAACTATGCAAAAACTCCCAATTAGGCACATGAAGACGTTTATTTCCGGCCTTCTCAAGGAGCAGCAGGCCATTGATCAACTCAAACTCCTCTGACGTAGCTTTATCCTTCGCTTCGAGTCTGCGTATGATCTCTGACATGAATGGGTCCTCGCGATAGGCTTCCACCAAAGACTGAGTAACATCGTCCGCAAGCCCAAATTTTGTGACCAGCACACCGAGAAAATCTGGCCTACGCGACCGCGCATCAGCAACCGTGTTGTACTCCCCCTTGTTGTGCTGGGTTTCGAAGTCATACTGCTCAATGACTTCGATCCAACGCTTCAGAGCGTCGAAGAGTACCGGTTGAGTCTTCATCCATCTCAGGGTCTGATGATCAGTCCTAACATACAAGAAGCGACCTAGGAGGTAGTGCCTTCAATGGGTTAGCGCTTTATAGATCACATAGAGCTCCTTCTCATAGGTGGACTTGGCCAACTTTTGAGAGGGCATCTTTTTGGACATGTACTCTACTGGCCTCAACTTTTTCCCCTCCTGCTGCGCAAGTACGGCACCAATGCCGTAGTGGCTGGCATCCGTAGTCACAACGAAAGGTTTGTCAGGATCAGGAAGTTTCAAGACCTTATGGTGTGTCAACGCATGCTTTAGATGTCTGAAAGCAGCCTCACACCTGTCTGCCCACTCCCATGGGGTGTCAACGCGTGTCAGGTCCGCCAAAGGGACGGCCACTATACTACAATTTTGAACGAAGTTGCGGTAGTAGCCTGTCATCCCTAAGAAGGACCTCATCTCAGTCACAGACCGAGGATGTGGCCAGTCACGAATGCTGGCCACCTTCGTGTCATCGGGCTTCAAACCCTCCGCGGAAATCTCATGACCCAGGTACAAGATCCGGGTGCGGCCAAACTCACACTTCTCCCGGTTGATCTTGAACTGGTGTTGTCTGAGGAGGCTAAGGACTTTATCTAAGTGCGCTACATGCTCCTCGACAGTCCTACTAAAGATAAGTATGTCATCGAGGGACACGATGACAAACTTGTTTAAGTAGTCATGAAATAACCTGTTCATCGCGTGTTGAAAGGTGCCAGGAGCATTGCAAAGGCCGAAAGGCATCACCACAAACTCGTACAGACCGTACCTGGTCTGAAATGCGGTTTTGTGTTGATCCTCAGGCCGTATTGCAATCTGATGGTACCCGGACTTCAGATCCATCTTACTGAAGTACCGACACCCTTGCACTCGATCCAACAAGTCGTCGATGCACGGTAGGGGCTCGACGTTCTTCACTGTGATGGCACTGAGGCCCCTATAGTCAATGCACATCCTCAAGGTCCCCCCCTTCTTCGGTACAAATAAGACTGGCAATCCGTAAGGGGAGACACTAGTCCGGATCCAACCCTTCTCTATGAGATCCTTGAGTTGCCGGTGAAGCTAATCGAGCTCACCTGGAGACATCGGATAGATTCTACCTTTCGGAATGCTAGACCCTGGGATAATCTCTATCGCATGGACGACGTCCCTCTTAACAACCCCTTTCGGCTCTTCGAATAGATCAGGGTACCTAGCGACCACTCCCTCTATCTTTGGAGGTGTTTTCACCGGCTCACCCTTTGCGGAGACGTAAACTAAGTACATACCCTCTTCCGGATTTTGCTTATAATAGTTATAGAACGCGGTCGCACACATGCATCCGTAGGACTCGATCAGACTACTAGCCTTGAACTTATGTAATTTGGCGGTCCCCCCTCCGGGCAAAGTGTGTTTGACCACTTTTTTGTCCCAGTCAAATTGGGGCTGCGCAACTGAGAGGTAATACATACCTAACAAGATATGTATAGGGAGATCATCGCTGACTAGGAACGAGACTCGATGTCTCAGTTCCCCTCCCGCGTACGGGAAAAGACACTCAATGTCTCTGAGGTAGTCGGTGACTACCATGCGCTGTTTGTTGGCACAGGTCGACTCCACAGGTCGACTCAGGCGGTGCACTTGCCCCTCTAAGCGCAGCCTCTCAGCGCACGCGTGACTAATGAAGTTCCACGTCGAGCAAGTATCATAATAGGGCCCGACCTTACGATCGGCGATGACTACCTCGCCGATGAACAACTCCTTAGGGGCTTTGGCCATGGCCGTCCAAGAAGCTAGCGGGTCCGATCTAGACCACTCCTCCTCTAGCTCCTCTAAGGACTCAAACACCTTTAGCGAACACAGGATCGCTGGGTCCGAATGTGTTTGCGGGACGACGATGGAGTCAGTAGCTTGGGCCATCTCTTGAGATGGTGGGGGTGTGTCCACGACCTCGACCCTAGCAGGAACAACTACTATTTCTACTGGCCCGATGTGTTTCCCGGAGCAGTGCTAGAACTGCTGGCCACATTGCTACCTACGGGAGCGAAGGATCCCAATGCCTGCCCCATCGTAGGCGGGATCCTCTCGGTCACCTTCTTGTTGCGGCACTTGAATTGGTTATGGCCATATTGACCACAACAAATGCAGGCCTGCCTGGTGTACCGGTCTCTCCACACGTCCTCTGTAAGACCCGCTTTCTCCCATGGAGGAGCATTGGGGTCAACTTGACTCCTGGACCGGGAACCTCCACGGCGTCTACCGGTCGCCTTACCTTTCTGGACAGAGGCAGCGACTGTTCCACCCCTGAAACTTCTATGCTGCCTGCCTCTGTACCTACTCCCTCTTGGAAGTCGTCTTCTAACTCGATGGTAGACCCATCGTTGTCGACGAACATTATGCGGCCTTTCGCCTTCCAGTTGGGAGGCAGTGCCTTCTTCCTACCGTCCGTCATGGGTGTATGTCCATGCCCTATCTTTGCCTCTATGTCTAGGGCTTTCTTGCTAAACAAGAGAAAGTTGTGCATATTGATGTTGGCCTCACCTGGCAACTGATTCCTGAGAGGCAAAGGAAAACATCTCAGGTATGCAGTGAGTAAGACCTGGGGGTCATAGCGTACTCCAGGAAGATAGATCAGACGCTCTATTGCGTCTGTGGCTTCCCTTATTGACTTCAACTGCCTGTTGTTCAATGTCAGGATCGCGTCAGTGGCCTTTTGGGCCTCCTGAGGATCATGCCAACTATCTTCCGCCAGCTTAAGGAACTATTCCAGTTTCTGGTTAACTGCCCAAGCGTGGAAGTCATGACCGTATCCTTGTAGCTGTTCTAATCCACTCAACCATCTTGCTGCACTCCCCTCTAAATAGGAGGCAGCCACAAGTACTTCCTCGTGTGGCAAGGTCAACTTGCATTTGACATAGACTGGCACTGACCTCAACCATGTGTCGAGGTGTTCGCCCCTCTTGTCCCCTGTAAAGGGTTTGGCGGAGGCGATGGCCGTCTTCGGAACCCACTGACTTTGTCTCGGTATCTGTCCCACTCCAGGTTGTGGACCTTGGGGAACAGGCTACTGCACTAGCTGCTGCTGGGGCTGTGTACCCTGAGGCTGTGCATGCTGCGAGACAGCAGGCTGCACCTGCATCGGAGGTAAGGAATACACTGACTGTACAGGAACCTGACCACTAGGACCTGTTGAGAACCCTCCTGTTTGCGGCATACCCAGGGAAGTGGCTTGTACCGATGCTGGAGAAACATATTGGGATACTCCAATCATCGATGGGACAAAAGGAGGAGGATGTACAAGGGGCCAGGGCACCGGGCCCGGACGGTGATGGAGCTGCCTGCGCGCGCCCGCCAGACTCTACTGGATGTCTTGTAAGAGACTCGTCTGGTGGTCTTGCATTTCTACTACATCTAGCAGGACTGCACGCAAGGTCCTCACATCATCCTCCATGCGTGTCAGATCCATCCCTCTAACTCACTAACGTCCGCTTGTCTCCGTTGTAACCTAGCTCTTCTTCAGATCATTCTTTCCTTCTCTGCCTTTATCTCTCCTAGAGCGTTCTGTAGTTGTGCCTCCTGAAGCGCTGCTTGCTGTATGGCAACCTCCTCGGGAGTCAGAATGAACAGCTGGCTTGCCATGACGCCAGTGGACTGACTCGGGGGGTGTGCGACAGTTGACCCTACAGTCCGTGAACTACTAGCCTGAGAGCTTTGCTGCGCAGCAGTTGACATGGTTGCTGAAGTAGCGGCGGCCCTAGCTCTTCTCTGCTGGCAGAACAGGAGTCTGTCGCCCTCTGGTCCTAATGCCAAAGGGGCTATCGGGCGCCTTGCTGATCGCAGGATCCTGTCGTCCTCTCTAGTTTCCTCCCTGTCGCTCATAAGCTACTGAACTGCGCACCGTCTGCACTAGGTCACTCACTCGATGCCTACCGCAGTGTCATGCACAAACCGATTTATCAAATAAATTAATTAATCGGTGGCTATGTCAGAGACTACACATTTGGGTCCAACAAGTAAGTTCAAATTCCTACAAACGAGACTATTTCTACTTTGACTAGTTCACAAACAGAAAGCACAATGAACAGAAAACAGTTCTATGTTGTCTGTCAGATGTTAATGGTTGTACATCTATCTAATCAAAAAACAAAAATAGAATCATATAATTGGATGTTTGCGGAGTGGAATCTTTCCCAAACATATCACCTGGAATCTACCCCTCCCTCAGTTCTTCTTGAATGTCTCTTGTCGGCAGCATCCCTGCAGCGGGCCTCCATCTGCCCTGGCCTACAGCCAGGGCCTGTTTGGCTATTTGCCAGTTCGGCCTGTGGGACCAGGCCGTGGCCTGACCCCACAGGCCTTGTACTATTCCAGTCCAGTCCAGTCCTGCCCGGTACCACTGTCGGTACCAGGCCAGTCCAGTCCAGTCCAGTCAGTCCACTGGGGGTATGCCCCAGTTGTTGTCTGTTTTTCAGGATTCTTCACTTTTGCACATCTTGGAGTACGTGCGTGTTTAGGTTTGTGTCGGAGTTGCACTGTCCTTCCAGCTCCATCTCCACCTCCTCCTCCGTCAACCCTCTGCCATCCTGGCGGGTCCGGCACACTGGTATCAAAGCGGGAACGGTCCCCGCTCCAACCCGCCCACCCTCCCGTAAGAGGGAGAAATCGGTGTAATCCCGATAGCGGGATTTTCAGCGTTTTTCAGGGCGGGAACAGCGAAAAAGCGGGGAAAAACGGTAGCATGCAGAGGCGGATACGTGGCGAAAGAGGGAGATGTCGTCACGACGCGTGTGCGCAAGCGCCAAAGGCCAAGGCCGCCGCACGCGCCCAGCGCCCACGCTTCCCTGCTGCCCCACCCTACCCCGCTCCCGGATTATTATTATCAAGATCCGGGATGCTGCAACTGCCAGGGTTTGAACTTGGGCAGCTGCTGCTTGCGCGAGTGCGGTCAGTGCCTTAACACACTGTCCAAAGCCGCAGTAAGCCACAGTATGAGCTGATACTGTGGCTTGCTGCTGTTGAAGAGGTGACACAGCAGCTATTTCCCCCCCCCCGGCGGGTGGTGTGTGTTGCCGCCTGCGCACGCGGCTGGCACATGCTGCCTCTCTGCAGTGCCACGTGGCAGTTTGCTGTGGATCTTGAAGACCCCCCTAGCTAGGGGGCTGCACTACAGTGACATCTGGGTGGATGATCAAGATCTCAGCCCACCCCGGATTTTTTTTTATTGACATCTGGGTGGATGATTAAGATCTCAGCCCACCCCGGATTTTTTTTTATTGCAGTGGCATCGGGCCAGCAACATCTTGAAGGCCAAGATCCTGTGGATCTTGGTAGTGCTCTGCTCTTGGCCACCCAAGAGCTTGGTATCACCATCCTACCACTAACCTACTCTCCCCCAACCTCTCTTCTCTCCCCCCTCCCATCATCTAACCATCCCTTCCAACCCAACCACTACTCTCTCCTCCTACCTTTCTCTTCACTCATCTCCGACAACCTTTTTCTCTCCTCTCCTCCCCACTCACCATCTTCTACTCCTCTCCACCTTTTCTGTATCCTTCTCTCCCATTCTACCACCCTCCTCTCCCTCTTCCCCCCCCTAACTTCAACCCCCTCATTTCCCCCATCTCCCCCTCCACTTCTTTTCTCTTTCTCACCTAGTTCTCTCTTTTCTCTTACCTTTTCATCCCCCCTTTCCCCCCCCCAACTTCGAAAATTTTCTTCTTTTATCTTTCTTTTTGAATTATCTTATTCCCCACCTTCCTTTCTCATTTTCTGATTTATTTCATTTTATTTTTTTATTTATTTTGAAAATTCGAATTTCTTTGCGGCACCCTCGAATCTGATTATGAGTTAGTCATCCTTGCTTTCGGCACACATTTTGACCCCGTAGGGGTAACGAAGTGCTGCCGAAATTTTCTGTTTTCTTCTTTTTTTCGGCACATTTTGACCCCTTGGGGTTGGCGAAGCGCTTGCAAAATTTTCTAGTTTTACTTAGTCTTTCTTCTTGACGGCACACTTCGACCCCATGGGGGTCTTTCTTCTTGACGGCACACTTCGACCCCATGGGGGTAACGAAATGCTGCCAAAATTTTTTGAAAAAAAACAACACTTAGTTTCTCTTCACCCCCTCATCTACTTATTTTTTAATTTAATTTTTTGAAATTTATAATTTGCGGCATTTTGAACTTTAGTGTGCTCATCTTGGTCTCCTTCCTTTTGGCACATTCTTGAACCCCCGGGGGGGTAAGGAAATGCTGCCGAAAATTCCAAAAAAATAAAAATCACTTCTCTCTTCACGTTTTGTTTATTTATTATTTATTATTATTATTTTTTTTTCTTTTACTTTTATCTCGAAATTTCATTGTTTATTTTATTTTCTCTCCCCCTCCCCTCCATGGTTATTATTTTCTGTTCTTGATTAGGTTGCCGCTACCCTCCCCTAACCACCCAAAACCCGGTTAGGGTTTTCTTAGGGTTTTTCTAGGGTTTAGGGTTCCCTTAACCCCCCTTACTATCCCGCCTCCTCCCGTCGGTCACCCTGGATCCGAACGGCTCCTCTCCCCTCGACCGGATTTGCGCCACCATCTCACACGCGACCCGCTGGTCACGGGGCGAGCTGACCCACGACTACCCACTCCGCTCTCGCGGTCCCCTCCCTCTCACTGGTGGTCCCCTTTCCCCGCATACCACAACCCATCTCCCCCCCCACCTCCCACCATGTCTACCTCTCTCCCTCCATCGCCCACGGATGGGGCTACATCTGAGGAGATCACCGTGGCGCAGTCCACATCCCAGGCCAGCGCGTAGCCAGCAGCTCATGGTCACGCCCATGCGGACACCATGGACCTTCATGCCGTCCTTGTAGCGATCCAAGCACAACTTAGTACGCTTGGACCGTTGCAAGCGCAAATCAATGCGCTTGCCCTTGATGTCAACCGCCTCAAAGGCTCTCCCCATCGCTCCCCCCCCCATTTTCACACCCTATCCCCAACCGGCTCACTGGCCGGTTCCCCATGACTCCGACGAAACAGACATGGTAGTTTGCCCTCCCTTGTGGCTCAGGCCCAACACTCCCCCTCAGCCGTGATGAGCACTGCTGCCGGTCAGACTACCCCGTTTATTGCAACAGTTCTCCTGGCCCCTGCCGCCACTACCGTCTCTGCCGCTGTCGTAGGCCCTGCGGTCCAAAGACCATCATCTGGACCGACAATTTTACCAACCCGTTCCGGTGCTGCTTCCCAACTCCCTACACCAGTCGCGGCATTACGGCTTCGTCCACTACTCCCCGCCTTCGTCCCCTTACCCCTACAGCAAGGTACCCCGCAGTCTGGGATTCTTCCTCCCGGTGGGATCCCCCCCCCGCCTCCTCCACCCCCGACCCCGCGCACCCAGCGAGTGGTCACTTTACAGGCCACCATTGCACAGGCTCAGGCGGAGATCCTTGCTCTGAGACAGCCTCACGCATCACAGGCTGCTCACCCTTCTTCTTCTTCTACCACCCCTTCAACCCCCATGATGCAGGCTCGTTTCCCTCGACCTGCTCCTCAGCCTATCCCCTCCTACCTGCCTATTTTGGGACAGCTGCCCGCGGTCGTTGCCTCCACATCGGCTGGTCAATCTGCCAGTGGTCACAGTCCACAACCTTCCCCCACCTCTGCCCCTGCAGCGGTCCCGACTTTCGCCACGGCCTTGCATGCGCCTCGGTCTCCTTCCCCCCGCCATCAGCACAACAGACACCCTCTTGTGCGCACTTCAGACATTCCCAAGTATGATGGCACATCCCGCGTCTCTCGCTGGTTGCAAATAGCAACATGCACACTCTCCTTGACGACCACCTGTCAAGAGTTGTGGTGCGATGTATTGCGAGGCAACCCTTCCACTGCGTGGGAGGACTATTATACCCAGGGCCTCCACGTGGGTGAGGTCCCTACAATTGCAGACTTAGCGGCCTTCCTTCAGGACCACTTTGGCGCTCGTCACGACACCACTGACGCTTTAGACTGCGTCACACA